CCCCCACCTCCCCCACCTAAAAAGTGTGACGTAATTTGGCCTCCTACCCGGACCGTGAATTATATCGTAATACAGTATACTAGGGTATTTTTATTGCGAGGATTCGCATTGCGAACGAATTGTGTTTCTCACTGACATCTGGCAGCTGGAACAGAATTCTTCATAATATGAATGTGAGCTTCGAAATACGAGAGGCGTTCGTATTATGAACACTATTCGTTAGTAATTTTTTTTCTTGTAAGTTAATGGTCTGATCTTTCGGTATGAGTACACAGGGGAAACAATTAAGGTAGGACTTAATGCCTTTAAAGCAGTGTTAAATTTTAATGCCTTTGTAAAGGCTTGCGGAAATGTAATTCAACGCAGAACGGCATTCCATTTCCCACCCACTTTAAACATTGTTCTGCATCCTACCTTTGTTTTTTATATGTAGAGGTTTTTGCATATTAAATAATGGTGAGAGGACGATACTGGGTCTGTTCTCTACCACGCAATCTCAGTCATATAGTAGTCACAAACGTTAATCCACGGACAACTTTAATCGGTACAAGTTGCAACTGCTACAGTGTAGTGAACAATAGGGTTACAAGAGATCCTTCCAGCCGGCCACGTCACGTCCCGCGTTCTACAGTTGCGTGGCGTTTGACACGACGGACGCAGTAGTTACTGGGCCGTTTCCATGTTCAAGGCCTGTAGTTCATAAAGCGACTTTTCCAAGATCTGAAAGAGGGGAAAGTTATTATGATTGCCACGTGATGGTAGCACCAACAAGTTAAATGAGATTTGTTTACTTTTAATTCCTCCTGTTTCGTGGTTCTCAGCTTGGTAATAGCATTTTCTTCCACGAAAAGTTCTTTTAACTTGGAGCCTAATTGAGTGGCAAGTTCCAGTAGAATGCTCTTCTCTAGTCCATTCACCAGGTAGGCCATTGTGGCCTTTGCCACTGTATCCTGGATTCGATTTGCAATTACTCCGTAATAAAGATTCAACATATCTCCTGTCGAGACAAAATGTGACTATTTATTAACAAGTACCTTATTTTTCGGCTTTTTGATTGGAGAGCTGCTGCTCGTCATGAATCGACGTGCACATTTTGCTTGCATTTTTTTGACAACCCTAAACGTTTTAATAGAAATGTGCCTAGAAGCTAGTCGTTTCGTGCTCTATTAACTTAACAGGAAGTGTTTGTTTAGTATTACTTATCGTTTACCGAGGAATCTGTACGTGGGTTGTGTTTGTCCGAGTGCATGTCTTACATTGTAAAACCAACTGTCGACCATGTGCACATAAGGAACAGTTGTTGCCAGCGTGCTAGCGGGCCTGCAGGCACACCATCAAAGTGTGTGCCGTTCTTGGTCGACTGTTGCAGGTGTGTGCCTGGCAGGTACACACGTATAGGTGGGGCACATGGCAGTGAAAATCAACTTTCAGAACTTCGGTGCTCCAAACAGGGCTACAATTAGGGGCTAGGAGTCAGTTTTTGCCTCCCTGCAAGGAGAGAATTACTATTTTCTCCTTCAAGCGTAGTCAACATCCATTTTAGGTTTCTGAAGCAAAGCCGTGTCAAACAAGCCTCTTTAAAAGTGTGTGCCCATGCAGGCAACAGCTGTTTTTACGGTATACAGGTGACTGAGTAGGAATGCCAAGTGGGAGAGGGGGCCGAGGGGTGGACGACTGGGCGGCTCCTGCGTACAGGCCCAAATGTACTCCAGGTGTTCTCCGATTGTACTCCGACTGTACTTCGTGTACTCCGGCTGTTTATGTCGCAAGTTCTCCGCGTACTCCGACTGTACTCCGGGTGTTCTCCGGTGTACTCCGGGTGTTCTCCGGTGTACTCCGGGTGTACTCCAGGTAGGTGTACTCTGCGCGCTCCGACCGGCAATACTCAGTGTTCTCCGACTCTACTCCGTGTACTCCGTACTCCTGTGTACACGAAAAATTCAAGTCGCCCACCCCCCGGAGGGGGCCCATGGGCCTATGCAACCTGTGAGGACGAGATTGGTCGTTCATTAATGATAAATGTGTTGGGACCGATACTTACCAAGTATTATACAGTGCCTGACGTCTTTGGTTGCTGGGTTCAATGACTCTTGAATAGTAAAATCTTTCAATTTTGCCTTTTTAATGAAGGCCGGACTACTTTTAAATGGGTTTCCAGGAAGTAGACCTAAGTCTTTGTTTAAAACACTCAGCAGGTTGGAATGATTTACAATTTTTAATATTTGGCTCCGAGTTATGTGCTGTTCTTCAATGTATATTGACTGTAAAACCTCGAATAAGAAATACAATGTAATATTAGTTCCACGTTTTGCAAGTGTGAATAACTGTGTCCAACACCTTTTGGTGTGAACCACACTGCGAAATAACCCTCGTAAATTTACGACATATTTTGTAATTAATACTTACAAAATATGTTGTAAATTTCTGACATGCAAATCTTGCTTGTCGATTAATTCCAAGTGAATACGTTATGCTTATAATTTTACAAAGATAAAGTGTAATTTTACAATGCTAGATTTCAATTTAACAGTGTTAAATTGTAATTTTACATCGAAACGTCATCGAAACGATATTAAAATGATATGATCGACGTAGAAACGATGTGGTTTCGAAGTCAATTTCACACTGTGTAACGTGCAAGCAACCCATTGTTAACATAACTTCATACATGACAAGTGTTATCTTTTAACTGATTCGTCGTTTAAGCCCAAATTGATGAGACTTACATATTCTTTTGTCTTTCCAGTTAGATCGTCGATCATTTTATCCACGACCTTAGTCACCCCTTGTGCTACCGCTGGAAACCTGGTTGCTGTTTCCTGAGGGATGGAATTACGGCAAAGACTTTTCAGTTCTCTAGAGACCTCGTCGATACACAACAGTGATGGCTTTCTTGTATGTTCTAAGAGAGGTCTCATCAGTTCGTCGAATGCTCGTTCAGAAAATAGCAACGGTGGCTCAACACTACTGGTCTGGCGGATTGCTAAAATTACTTGTTCCAGACAATACTTCTCACAAGGTTTGACAGACATAAGAGAAATATCAAGTTTTTTAAAGAGGGAACATATTTTTGCCCCTCCAGTCCTGGAATAAAGAAGCAAGACCTAATTAAATCTAATCGTCAAACATGCACTTTTAGCACGTAACTGATAATTTGTAAGAACGACTTCTTCTTTGTACCGCCAGTAGCGCCAAACGCATTAAATGCGCTTCATTGCGCATTGAAATGCACATAAAAGGTGACACCTTTGTGACGCACAAAGAATTTCGTCGCCCACTTAGAATAAAGTCAGTAACGTGCTGAGAGTGCGGGATGTGCCGAAATGTCCAGTATGGCAATAATGTAAAATAGTTTCCGTACACAATTCCTATATTTGTTTTGACAGTCGACGAATAGTTAGCTTCTTAGCTATGACAAGTGTCATATCCGTGTCCATGACACAACACCACAAATTCAAAGACAGTCGCGTGGACGAGCGCATGGAAAAAATGTGAATTAGTTTGTGTTATACAAAATTGCTTATTGATAAATAACGTGTGCCACGGGGCGAGCAAATAAATGCAAGTGCTCAACACTATGTTGCACACTTTTAAAAGTTTTAATGGAGATTCGACTAATATATAGTGTTTGGCCGAGTGTTTAGCAGTAACTTTGAACGCTTAGAAGTGCGCGTCTTCGGCGTTGACCATGAAGCTTCTAAGTATTCAAATATTCAGTCAAACAATTTAAAGTGTGAATTTGAACACTTTACAGTGCACACCAGCAGTTGCATACGTTATTTATTAGTTCATAAGGTGCTTACTGATACTATCATTAAAAATTAGTCTTGACAACAACAAAAAATTGTCGTAGGGGCAAACGCGTCAGGTATGGAAGCAATGTTGAATAGATGCTGCTGGGACTGAGACCAATAAAAAAGCTTATTATAAGCCAAAATATTTTTGTTTTTAAACGGCTCGTGAGATATTTGTTTTAGTAGCCACAAAAAGAAGAAGTCACGAAATTTACTAGTATTAGAACTAGTATTAGTTCTAGCAACACATATTATTGGCACGGTACCAAATTCATTGTTTTCCGTATGGGTTACGATGGTCGCACAGCACTGCCTGCAGTATTACGAGTACTTACAGGCTGACAGATTGCACATCCACAGCTTCTCCTTTCACAATCTTGATGAATGATTGGCAAAAAGTATTCAGAGTGTCGTCCAGGCAAGCCTTTTCATCTCTTACTTCTGTTCCACACTCTGCCAACACAGATTTGCACGCCTCAATCTTTTTAAGCAATGATTGCTGAAAACAAATAAAATAAAATAATAAGTGCTAGGCCTTGGTTATCTTCTTAGTGTAAATTCGTCTGCCGTCATTACTTATATGTATAACATATGTAAACTGGGAGCATGACTCTACGTCCCACTTCCTCAGCTAGACTGTACAAAGTGCCGGATTTTGCCTACACGGTTCCTTCGTAGCTCTACTGGGCATGCCTGCGATACGGCAATGCGCTTAAAAAGTCCGAAGAAGTCACACATTTGTAGAGCGCTAGAGTTGCCCCAAAAAACGCATTTTTTGATTTTTGAGTGAGCATGTTGGCCACAGGGTGCAATTTGGTGTATAGATACACCATGATTTTTATTATGAAAATGGAACAATATTTGACCCTGCCGAAACGAGCTCAAACTTTAACATTACTTTCTTATGGGGAATTCTACTAAAAACTACAATTTGGGCCTGGACCTCAAAATATTACCTGTAGATGAAAAGTGTTGTAAAAATCGTGATCTACGCGAGAAACCGAGTCAAACGACATGCCACTTGCCAGTATCCGCCATCGCATTTCGTAAAAAATGTTCGTGAAATAATCACTTTTTTGCTATTTTTTCTCAAAAAATGCGCATAATTATTGTGCGCATTCGGTCTAATGTACTGGCGGTACGAGGGTTCTTTACTTAGAGGCGACTTGGTAAACAGACCGCAGGTGGAGCTTTAGCAGAACAGCATACCAACAATAACGAATGTGGACGGGGCTGCACCGTGTCTTTTGTAAACCTACCGTCATTGCTGGTACACAGTTGATTATGTGCTTAATCAGTAATTCTTGTAACTTTTTTGCTAGGTATTTACTCCCGTTTGTGTCAGCCAATGCTGGGTATTTTTTCTGTAGAAAGTCATCTTCATCTCTCAGGGTATCCTCAATGCTCTGCAAAAATGAAACGAAATAGAAGCCAAAACAGGAGCACTGTGTTCCTGTGTCTCCTATATTGCATTACAATACCTTTCCGTTATTTATGTCCTCTTGCGACCTATTGACAACGCCAATGATGCCTAGTTTCACCGGAATGCATTTTCCAGTCAAAATTTCCGTTGCATCCGTACCTTTACAAGGGAAACAAATTTATAGATAACAACAATTCTCTGGTAATCTTAGTGTGTAGTTGTTGGCCAGTTTAAACTGTAGAACAAAAAGTTTGCCAGTTATTACCGGAAAAATAAAAGGTTGACAGTTGTAACTGTAGAACTAAAAGTTTGTCAGTAGTAACTGTAGAACTTAAAGTTTGCCAGTTGTAACTGCAGAACTAAAAGTTTGACAGCTGTAACGTCAGAACTCTTTAGTTCTGCACATAACAGTTTGCCAGTTGTTCGTGTATAACTAAAAAGTCCTAAAGCTAGAAATGGCGAACTAAAGAGTTTCTACAGTTACAACTGGCAAACTTTTAGTTCTTTACTTTAAGCTGGCAAACTAGTACACACTAAGATTAGCAGAGTTGGCAAGCTGTGCGATATTTCGATTTTGTTACAATTATCTCAATATCGACACGATATTTTAATCATCTCAGTACGACATTTCGATTTTGTTTCGAAATATAGATTTTGTTTCAATATCTCGCTACGCTTTGAATACAATGTCTCGATATCTCAATTTCGGTATGATATTATCTTGACATTGAGTATTGAGGATATCTATATCGATGTCGACAAAGCAAGGCCTCGACAGTAAGTGCTTAAATATTCCTCGATACCACTTGATACTACAATATTGCGCGATGGATCTTCGATACTGCGACCATCGAATTTGTTTCGAGACTGAGAGAGGCTAGTGCACAATACACTTAATTAAAGGGTTTCACCCAGTAGTTGTGCAGTCGTTGAAAGTGTTGCCTTTGCAGAGCCAATGGTGAACCCTGCTTCTGCTTCTCCATTCTCCAGCAAGGGGCGCTTTTCTAGTTATGTCATACCTTTATCCATTATGTCAAGTTTTGTGACAACGGCAATGGTGCGCGTACCGTCCGGATCAACTTTCATTGCCATTTTGAGACACTCGTGGGTGGCCATATCAGTATTAGCGGTGATGACAGCCAAAATGATGCTTTTAGGATTTTTGATGAACTGATTTATGAGGTTGACAATCTGATCCTCTATATCTGCAGGTTGGTCTTCTACAGCTACCTGATAAAAGTTTTCAAAGTAGTGTTCATTATTGCTTCAAACTGACCTGATGCGTAGTAGTAAATTAGTGAACTGGTAAGGTTATACATGGTCCTCGCCGTAAATCGCCCCAGATTATTTGTTTGTTATTGCAAGACACATTACTACGTGTCCTTGCTATTCCTAGTAGCGCCAAGGCGGTAATGCTCGTTAAAATGCGCATTGCTGCCTTCGCGCTACTAGGGTAGACGGCGTTTTAATGAGGGATGAGCCTAGTAAGAAGAAGAAAAGAAGATGGTGGCCTAGCGTAGCGCGGACCCATAACAAAGCAGAAAGCTGCATCGTGGAATTGCGTTTATATTTAAAGTTATGTCTTTCAAATTACTTTTAAATCTTTACTAGCGTACGATCAACAGAAATATATCCGATAACAGCTCCAAAACCTCTATTTGGAAAAGTTTCGTGACCAGGTTATGTCGCTTTGTTATGGGTCCGCGCTACGCTACGCCACCATCTTCTTTTCTTCTTCTTACTAGGCTCATCCCTCATTGAGACATCGGTTAGTTTAGCATGATTTGGAACCTACCTTGGTAATGCCTGGCAAGTCCACAAGTGTGAGTGTCAGGACGTGAGGAGAGAATATCGTCAGCACGATTGGGGTATAAGAAATGTTTTTAGAAACACCGGCAAGCTCCTCCGTCCTTCGCTCAATTTCACTCTTAATGTCACCAATGTCGTATATTTTGCCATCCTTGTCAAATTCTCCCCATTCCTCATAGGATTCGCCTGAAATGTCAATTACTTATTGTAAAAACCTATATTGACCTAATATTTTACTGGAAATCCAAGTGCGCGAGTGTTGCACATCTGGAGGTAAGTGATCAATTTCTCACAATCCGTAGCAACGTATTTATATCGTTTCAGGTCAGCGAATGACCTCTTTGGGGAGGCCGCAGTGAAAAGTTTGTAACTGTGCAAATAGGTTGTGGCACTTTAACGAATAATTAATACGCATTACGAACCTCTTCTCTTACGTAACTTATCGCCTTTGGGGCAATGGACGAGGCGCAGGATCAGAGGGCAGCGAGTTATCATGCCGATTCCACGAGGCAGGATGGGCCGACGCACGAGTGACTCCAGCACGGAGCTTTTCCCAGTGCTCTGCCGACCAACGCAGGGTTAGAGCCGGTTAGAGCGAGGCGTGGGGTCTACAACTCGGATTTTGTGGGGAGACAAGATTATAACCTGAAGTGTACGCGGAGTACGCGAGGAGTACACTCAAGAGTACACTCGGTTACACTCAAGAGTACACTCAGGGTGCAATCAGGTACACTTGATGTCGGTGTACAATAGGTGTACAGTCGGAGTACACTAGGTGTACACTCGGAGTGCCCTCAGTGTACACTCGGAGTATAGTACCGGGAGTACTCGGAGTACACTTATGGTACACACGGAGTCCGGTGATATCTCAAACAGGATAGAATCTAGAGACCATGGTAGAACTTTCGTTTTACCGTGGTTACAAAATGTTCAGGTAGTGGGGGGAGAAGCAACTGTATGCATTTGGACCACTACATAGGTCCATTTCAGTCATTTTTATACCATTTTGGTTGTCAAAAAGCACATATTTTGGGTTCCTCAATTAACGTTGTCATGAATTTTTAATTCAAATTTTTAAAAGAATCCTCTGTCTTGATTTATTTCTTTGTAAATAGTTTCGTGTTTATGTAGCAGGATTACAGACCAATTTGTTACTTATGCTGCACATGTTTGTCAGTAACCCACTGATACAATATACAATTGTCAGTAATTTTAAAAGAAATTATTTCGTACTTACGAAAAAGTTGTCACACACGAAATGTTTCGTTGCAGCCATCAAAATTTTGATACCAACGACCAAATTTTCTTCGATCAGCCCGGTAGTAGGCATTAAAATTTTAGTTACTATTGCCGAAATTGTGGTTGCTGTACCCAAAAGTTTAGTTGCTGCAACTACAACTTTAATGGAAATGGCCAGGACTAATCAACAATTTTTTGATGGCTGCGACGAAACATTTCTCTCAGTGCAGTAGCTTCTAAAGGTTTTTATGCAGCAGAAATACTAACTAGGGGTCAAAAATACAGTAACAGGATGTGGCTCAGTCAAAAGTTATAACGCAAAAAGCTTTTACTGCTTTTTTGGACTACCCACCTGGCTGCCCACCACGATGATTTGGGGTAAATCTACCGGCTTTTGACTAAAGCTCCTGAACTGATCTTGAAGCTTATTAACACATAATATTAGTTCGTCCATGATGAACACCTGCAAAAGCAAAAACAAGTTGTAAATTCACCTGTGCTGTGGGCCCACCACCGTTTTTTGGCGTTTGGCGCGCCATGGCTACCCCTACCCAAGGTGAAAGCCAATCATTACGAATTCGGTATAGTTCCAACACTGTCAATTTTTTGCCAAGAATTTTGAAGCATTGTAAGGAAAATTGCATTGCGAACTATTTTCTTTGCATTGCAAACTATTTTCTTTGTAAGTTGCGAAGAAATGGTTTGCAAGGTTACGAACTAATTTTTTGCAGCGTTACAAACTATTTTCTTTGTAAGGAGCGAAGAATTAGTTCGCAATACGAATGATTTAGTTCGCATTGCAAAGCAGCATATTACAACGCTTCAAAATTCTTTGCAATGCAGAGAATAGTTCTTCGCAAGCTTTTTACAGTGAAATGTTGTGCATATTAAATTTACCTACCTACCATACCATGTCGGTTCATGTCCTATTCCCCTCCCTTCACCCTCCTGGCTGACGCCATGTGTTCCCATCGTCCATGGCCATTACCAGCGCCTTAAGTAACGCTCATACGACACCATACTGTCGTATATGTATACCAGGTGGCTGACTCATGCCATGCACTCTCGTACTCTCGTAGGTATAGTGTACCACATTCGCGGGTGCGAATGTGTTGCCTACTCGCACGGGGCCATAATACGGAGTCGTGGGCAGCGAGTACAAGAGCGAGGATAGACAAACCAGCTTGCACCCGTGCATGCGGTAAATACAGTACAACTAGGAAAGTGCGCGAAGTGAGTCAGTCACCTGGTACAAATAAAAATATGTAGAACTGTACGTAAAGTACATGACCTTAAAAGTAACTGTTAAAAATTACTATTTCGTGTCTCTCACCTTGCAGCTTACAAATAAAAATTTAACAGTATTAAACTGTAATTTTGATAACGGTTTCAGTTAAATTTTTAGTTTTATACAGATACGCCAAAAGCGTGGACAGGCCGCTGTGCTGACACAAAATTTCGAAAACTCCTTCGAGAAAATCTCACTTAACTTTAAGAGGACCAACAAGAAAAGTCCAACAATTTTATCCGAGGAAGATCTGCGGTGTCCGTACTGTCGCGGATCTCGTAGACAACTGGGATCTCTGCGCCCCCGGGCCCCGGGCCCCGGGGCCGCTACTTATTTCCTGTGTTGCACACGCACCATATCTAGGTGCGGCGAGACCGATTGTTCCAACAAGGGATTAGAGGATCCCCATAAGTATTCGTTATCGGCACGACGAACCCCGCCTTAATGTGGGTGATATCTACACCCAGAGAAATTATAAGCAATGGCAACCATCATGGTTGGCTCAGGGAGCACCATAAAAATATGGTTGAGACAACAGTGACAACGTGATGAAAACCATATTTTTGGTTCTCTCTACCATGATAAGGTTGCATCAACCATATTTTATGTGCTCCTTGAGCCAACAATATGATGGTTGCCATTGCTAATCATTTCTCTATGTGTACAGTCCCGCTTTGATATCACTGCCGTGAGGGAATAGAGTTTCTGCGACGGGCGGAGCGGGCGGGCTCCGCCCGGCAGCCAACGAGCCAGGGGCGTCGGAAGTCCTCCACGGCCAGGGGGGGGAGGGGGGGAGGTCAAATATGTACAACCCCCACCCCCACCCTACGTCTTACGTATTCGCGAGCGAAGGGAGCGGGAATTTCTTTCAAAACAAAAATCGAACTTAGATCCCAATTTTTATTAACAGAGAAGCGGAAGCGAGGCGAGAAGCTGAAGCTAAATATTTGTCTATCCCACCGGTAAAAGGGGGTATATTGTATCGTTATATTTTGTCACTCCTGACTTGTTACTGTACTTCCTTGAGAAAAACTCAACCCAGATGATTTCTCGCATTTTCACGAGCGCTCGTCGCCAGGGCACCCGGCCCGGGCCCAGCCCGGCCCGTCTCTTCGCCAACGAGCCGGCTGGCCGCTACCGGAGGACACCACGGAGGACTGTGCCGGACCGCCCGGACCGAGCCTGGAGGCGGGCGGGCGGCACCATTCCGCACTTTTTGGCGTGTGAGAGTATCTTTCGGCCAGCCCCGAACCGGACGGACCCGCGCACAGGCGAGGGGGAAATCACTTGGGTTATTCGTAGCGTACGAGCTATTTCGTGGCATTTCTCCTGCCATTCCGGTTATTTCTCTCCTATTTCGGGTTATTTCAGGGTATTACGCGGTATTTTGGAGTATATCATGGGTATTTCGTGACTATTTACCGTCTATTTCGGGTCTATTTCGCCTTATTTCGGGGGAAGGTGTACGAACTATTTCGCAAGTGATTTCCTTCTCGCGCACAGGTGACTTCGGCCGGCAGTGTTCGGATGTCCGGCCGGTTACTGCTGCCGCCACGCCAAGCTACAGCACCGCAGCACCGCCCATGCACTGTCGCCCACACCTCAGGCGACGGGCAAGCCCGCCCGCCTATATCAGAACTCTGTGAGGGAATACCGGGGAATACACTTAAATTCTACACTGATGTAAAAATTTGCAACTAGATGTACTTGTTAGTGCTTAACGCCCCAGTTGCGCACTTCCGTGATCTTGAAACCCAAGGTACATTTGCACACTAATTGGATTTGCCTCTTTTAAGTGTAAAAATTTTACACTAAAAGTTTTTGCATTTATTTGTACGAAATCATGCACCATTGTGCGCAAATTTGTACGAAAAGAAGAGTAGCGTGAACGTTTGCACAGATACATAAGCGTTTCCTAAATACCTACATGTATGCAGGAGATAGTGTGTACATGCTCGTGTATGCAGGAGTCGATGACTCAAAACGACAAAGTTCGATCTGCAGCGGCACGGTTACACAAAGCCGATGTGCAGCGGCACTAAGTTCGATCTACATTCCGGTGGCTTCTGCAGCGCAGCCTAAATGTGTTCATATGCACGTCAATATTGCAGATAGAAAAAAGAGAAAACTGATTCATGCTTGTCAAAGATCAAAGAACAAGATACAAACTTAAACGCCACCGCGACAAAACTGTAGCAGAGGTCTAAACTTGCGTCTCCCGCTAGCGACGAAAAGCAGATCTAAGTTTCTTTAACCGGGCCGCTGCAGATCAAACTTTGTGTAACCGGACCGCCGTAGATCGAACTTTGTGTAACCGTGCCGCTGCAGATCGAACTTTGTCGTTCGGAGGCATCGTAGAGTGAACATGGCTATGGTACACAGGAATAGCCAAGCTATTTGTCCTGAAGTGTGCACTTGACCAGGTACACACTATTTTCTGCATACACGAGCACGTACACACTCTCTCTTGAGTAAATCGACGTGTGCCTGCAGAAGTGGCGTATCTCTGAAGAGGCGCGCAACACTGGCGGATCTGCGCCGGCCCGGCCAACACTGGCGGATCTGGGAAGGGACGGTCATCACAGGCGTATCTGCGTTCGGCTGATCTGCACAGTCAACTTTGGAGGCCTATTGCTCATCGTAGGTATGTCGTATAGTATTGAGTGGTATCAAAACTCAATCACGAGGATATAAACATTGCAATGAGACATCAGTCAATACTGTACGACATGCCTACGAGGAGCAATAGGCCTCCGAAGTTGACTGAGCAGATCAGCCGAAATGCAGATACACCCACTACGCCCATGATGACCGTCCCTTCCCAGATCCGCCAGTGTTGGCCGGGCCGGCGCAGATCCGCCAGTGTTGCGCGCCTCTTCACAGATACGCCACTTCTGCAGGCACACGTCGAAATTTCGCACAACACCGACGACATACTTGCACCACCAACTAATCCAGCGGGCTTGGAAAGGTTCGGGGCTGTGTCGCGAGGCAGCTCGTTGAGGTCGTGCTCGTCCAGCAGCCAGGCGTCTACTAGCTCGTGTGAGCGAGAGACGGCGGCGGCGGCTGATATGCCCTGCTCGGCTCCAGCCGCGGCTCCAGCAGTGTGGAGACGGAGCGGAGGAGTGGAGGTGGAGGGGTCGGACGTGCTCCTTGCCCCTCCGTCTCCCCCCTTTCGGTATTGGTGGTTCAATCTCCACACCCAGAAAAGCCTGAACTAATCCAAGCGCATTTTACGCCAAATGCACTTGAATTGATCGAGCCCGGTTGGAACTTGAAATGAGCATTCTGGATTGAAAAAAGTTTGTAAGGCGAAGTTAATAAGAATGCCAGCGCTCGGGGCAACACCGCATAGCGCTTGATATTTCAGAAATGATTTCAAGAACATGGTGCTCAAAGAATTTGAGGTCCGAATGGGATCGGTTCTAGAAACCGAATTGACTCGTGCCAAGATGGATTGACTTGTGGACTTGTGCTGAGAACTTCCAGACCGACGCAAGTGCAAAAATAGTTTGTGATTCACGGATGTGGGCCAAAAGTGGCCTCACGGGTCGTCAAGTACAGTCATGTTGGGGTTGAGGGGTGGCTGTTAAATGAACAATGTTAAGGGTAGATCCTAGCGGTTTTTTTCATTTTACATGACCCCCCTAAAGTCGACCCTTGCGAACTCGGTGGTACCTCCCACAAGGCAGAGCGACACGCTGGTCAGGTAGTAGGAGTAGGGCATATATGTCAGCATATGTGCTATAAAATTCCAAGATGGCGGAGGACGATTTTTGTCAACTATCAGTTGTTCCTATTTAATTCATCCCTGAGTGAGATCTTTCACTGGGGTTTTAACTGGAATGTTTAAACCTACCTAGCTATCGAGCCCCACAGACCTCAATTCAAGGCAACCACAAATCAAGTACATTGCTGTACTTGAAACAAGAACACGTCTTTTTGGGTGCACTAAGAAAAACCACGGGAAATGTCTACGGTGCACCCCGTAAATTTGTCACCAGGTCCGCGACCGTAATTTTGGATTACGGTCCACTCCGTGAGGGATGTTGCAGCTATATTCAATTAAGCCAACGCTTGACGCTCGCTCCCGCAAGCGTTGCGCACGCTTGGCGGAGCGCGCGGGGTGCGGGGAGGCGACGGTGACTCTTCACCTCTCTTCACCCTGCCCCCCGCCTCCCCTCTTGCCCTCGCACGCTTGCAGGAGCGTGCGCTGCGCCGAGCGTGCGCTGCGCCGAGCGTGCGCTAAGCGGGGATCTTAATTGAATATAGCTACCGTAACTTCGCAAACTGACTTACTGATCAATACAGCACTTGACTTATATACACTGAAGTACGGTCGGTCCATATCTTTACGATCGTGACCGTGCATGAAATATACGGGACGGACCGTGGGCAAACCATACCTCCTTACGGGATTGTTAACAGTGTCGGTTTTCCAGATAGTGCTTTGTACCCATGGATCGGCGTTATTGTGCTCCCGGAGTGTGTGTGTGTGTGTGTATGTGTGTGTGTATGTGTGTGTGTGTGTAAAGTTTCATGCCAAATAATCAATGCTGCGGTGTGGCAATAACCCGTGCTTTTTTGGATTTGGTGGTGGCGGTGGCGTCCCCTGCGTCCCGTCCCGTCCGTGTCTTTCGGTTGAAAACATTAATATTTTTCATAGACAAGGGCTATTTTCCTCTTTGTATCGAGTGACATTAGAATTAGCCCTGCCGGTGGCCCTGCCGTCACACAGCCACGCTTTGGTCGGCCTCCGGCCACCATTGGCCTGTTAGATAAGTATGACGTCTCTCGCTTGCTTGCTGGCCTTGGGCGTCTTAAGTTCGCGCGACGTCGGCGGTGACGTGGCGAGGGAATACCTCTGGCATCGACGATTTAGTACGAAAATGAGATCAATCCGGGATAAAATCGCAGTCATAGCATTCAACAGCAAGGTTCTACAGCACAGCCACAGACCACCCGCATAGAGACAGGTCGGTATTTTCGGCAATGGGGCAGTTGTGGCGAGTTGTGGCTGGACCCCTGTGCGGTAGGCAACCCATGGGGCCACGGTCGTAGGCTCTCGAGTACAGCCGCAGACTACCCACACAGAGACATGTCGGTATTTTCGCGATGGGGCAGTTGTGGCGACTTGTGGCAGGACCTCTGTGCGGTAGGCAACCCGAGAGACGCGGTCGTGTGATCATGGGGACAGCCCTCGGGCATCCATGGGTAGAGGTCGTGGCATCGTTATGGCGCGTTGTGGCTAGCCTCCTTACGGTCTCTATAGTCGGTCCGGTATAAGCTGATTTTCAGGGCGCGCGTTGCGGCCGCAAAGTTCTGGCCACAAACACGCTCGTATTACAAAATATATCGTACATGCACGAACATATTTTTCACAGTGTAGTAGAGTTAAGATATCTTTGGTGTATCTATTCAAGTGCTACCTTATTGGATTACCAGTATCATCAATATCAACAATAAACCAGTGATAGGACAGACTAATCCTGATTTCCTTATTCATCTTGCGCCTCTGACGTGCACAGAACCCGGCAACGTGGAATTTCTTACAAATACACCAATACAGAAGTATTCCGCGGACCACACCTTTATCACAATGGAAATGAGACGAAAATCCGAGGTAAAATCGCAGTTATAGTCATGCGTAAAAACTTTAATCTCAACGACGTTCGGACGGCTTCGAAAGCAGCTCTCGTCTGTCGGTATTCCCCTCGCTGCGACGCCGCACCTGCGAACACAAATCTTATCATCGGTGCCGTTCGGCAGCACTTCAGGGTGCGCGAGAGCCGCGTAAGCGCCGTGGCCGGCGATGGGTCCCACGAGAAGAATATGATCTAGCCGCGACAAACCAGAATAGGTGCGACATGGCCGCGACGCTCCATGGAGCTTCTGCAAACTCATTTCGCGATGGCGCGTGCTCTCGGAACTCGGAACCTAACACGCCCTCTTTCTCGTCGTGGGTGCGTGTTATGCAGTTGCAGAAGAAGGCGCAGTATAAGGGGATGGGGGAAGGGACCCCCCCCCACCCCATCGGCTCTAGTGAGCCGCCTGAAAGGTGGGCAATTTGTTCGACAAAACCCCTGTAAGTAGGCAACCCCCCTGTCAGCCGGACCTTATACTTCATCTGTATAAAAGTCGGATGGCACTTGAAATTTTTCCAGAACCTCACAGTTAGTGCATTCCCTAAATAGGCTAGAAGTAAAGTTTTTAAAAAAGGTTTGTCGTTTTTCTTAAAAATTTTAACTTTGGCTTCGAGCAGTAACGGGTAACCCGTGAAAGTAGCAGCCTCAGGCCTTAGGCCAAAAATGCTGTCCGTTTTGCTTTATTTTGTACCGATGAGGTAGTTGAGGGATATTTGGGGCAAAAAGGGAAGTAGGGCTTAAGTGAACCCCTACTGACTGCGAGGTTCAGGAAAAATTTCAAGTGCCATCCCGACTTGAATAGAAACAACCCTTTAATTTTCCAAGTTTCGACGAAATCAGAGATTTTCACCTGAAACGGCTCCCTTGTGAGTCTTATGCGGCCCTTCGAGGCAGGCGCCTGACGGGTAGGCAGCGTGCGCCGGTCCTCCTCAGCCGTGTCGAGCGGGACTGCCTACCCGACCGGCGCCTTTGGCTGGCCGCGTGCTCTGACGTGCGGCGGGCACGGCACGGCCAGGTGCAGCGCCCGGCAGAGCGGAGCGAACGTAGACGCTGTTCGACGAAAAGTTGTGTGAGGCGGGAAGTATACCCCCAAAACGCAGGTACTTGAAATCGAGTGCATTTTATCGAAACAAGTGCATGCACTCGTAGCGGTAAGGCAGGCTGTCACGAAAGTGTCTTGAGCTAGGAGTAGCAGTAGTCGCTCGTCTCTCCTCCCCCCTCCCCATTTCTCTCTGTCTCTCTGTCTCTCTCTTTCTCCCTATCTCTCTCACACACTTACAAGTATGCAACTTGCAGTTGCACACTTACACGTGTCGAGCAGTTGCACACTTAGTTTATCAGTAAATTAATTTCGCGAGTCCATAGACTTGAGTTTTGAAACAACCAAACATCCTGATAAATTGACACCATCAAATCGTTATGTTGCCATATTGTTAAATTTTATACCACTACGAACAGGTTGTGCCCAAAATTGACGACTAATAATAGTAATATTCAATTTCGATAAATTATGACATATTATTATGGTATGAGTATAACGGTTGAGTATAACGTTTATTGTGGTGACACCTTTCCTCTCCAGTGACTTTCTTCTTAAAACTTTAATTTGAAATTAACTTTTAAATTAAACATGGGAGGTAAATAACGAGTAAAAAGTAAACAAAATAGTACTTGTAAGAACAAGACGTTATCCGTTTCGATTCGTCCTGCTTTATGAAAATAATGGCTGGTGCTAGCGAAGGAAAACGTGAAGTGAGATGTGTTGTTTATTCACTGTTATTTGTAGTAATTTTTCACAAAATTTTAAACATGCATGGGATGTGTCCTTCGTAAATCAGCCATCTCAACCATCTAAAACAGACACCTATCCCGCTGAGTAAACTGTGCTTTCACTTCTTCTTCTGGTAGGGACTAGAGATCTATTTCGCACTTGTTTGCCATTTCATAGTCCAGGGCGTCCAGTTCTTTAAGTGAGTTTTTCAAAGCCTAGCGAAGAAAATGATTTTGTTTTACATGTGTATACAGAAAAGAAGTTCAGTATGTGACACATAGAACAATATTTTCGTTTACTTACTATTGATTCCCTCTGCTTCTGCTTCCTCGTGAATGTAATCGACACGTCCTCTTTAAACAGCTTTTTAGCCATACCTTGCAGCTGAGCTGCAAGTTCCAGCAACATATTTTTCTCGAGTCCATTCACCAAGCACGTCATGGTAGCCTTTGTCACAGTGTCTTGGATTCTATTTGCAACCACTGTGTAATAAACATTCAACATTTCCCCTGTCAAAACCAAACCAAAGATTAATACGTTTAGTTGGACTGCGTCAGTGTTTTTTATCTTTATAAGTTAAGTATATAAGTTAAGTTTCATGTCTCAACAACACGTAAGGGAGAGTGGGGCACATAGTGTTACTTTTTGGAAATTCTTCACTCGCAGTCCTAGTTTAGGCAGCATCATTACGGATTTTAGAGTTGTTGTGCCTCTATTCGACCTTCAGTCACAAGAAATCATTGAGACCCCCGCAAAAATATTCGCGTCTTCTCTCAAATCATCTCGAAAGGAGACCTCAGCAATTGACAGTATGTGCCCCGGGGGTGGGGCACTAGCTGTCACCATGTATATAACTTATGAAAAACGTGGATACTCGAAATGGCCTTAGTGGCATCTCTGAAAGGGAGTGCCATAAGAAACATTTCACCCCTGAAAATCAAAATTAAACATAAACCTTTTCTGCTACAGCAGATCAGAAAATGAGTGACAGTACCTGCCCCAATTTGGGGAAAATACTGTCAATAAATCTTTGTATATACTGCACGCTGCTGCCATACCACTGATAGTTTCGCCACCCCCATCTTGCAATCAAATAAAGACGTAAAGAGGTTGTGATTTCACAAATTAGATGACTGAAAAAGCTATGGGATGCCATTGCTAGCTCGTTGACAGTATGTGCCCCTGACAGCTGGTGCCCCATTCTCCCTTAACTCAAAAGCACCCCCACCACACTCGAGGTGCTGATGGGAACACTTAAACGACCATAAATATACAAATTAAGATAGTTACCAATGATCATGGCGTGCTTTATATCTTGTAACGTCGGTTTCAATATATCAGTGACATTGTATTCCACAGATTTTGCTTTTTGAATGAAATTATAGTCACTTTTAAATGGAATCGGAAGTTTTGCTTCGTCTTCTTCTTTCAGAATTTTTTGTAAAGACTCGTTCCTAAATTTTAGGAAATGGCTGTGAGTTATATGCCCTTCTTCAATTAATATTGCTTGATTAACCTTACAGAAAAGAAAAACGCGTATTAATCTGAAAAATGTACTTTACGCTATTTTTAAATTTTGTACAGATTTTTATTTAACTAATAAGTGTTTTTAAAATTTTGTTTTAATAACGCCTAAATACTTACAAATCGCTTTGTTGTTTCAGTTAGATCGTCTATCATTCCATTCACTACCGTTGTTATTTCTGTTGCCGCCTTGGGAAATCTGGTAGCAGTATCCTTGGAAATGCTCTTACGGCACACCTCTTTTAGTTCTTCAGCGACCTTTTCAATACACAGCATTGATGGCAGGCGCATAGTTGTTATAAGTGGTCTCATCAGTTCTTCAAAGGCCTGTTCAGAAAATATCATAGGTGGCTCAGGGCCACTGGTTTGTCTTATTGTTAATATAACTTTTTCCCTACAGTATGCGTCGCATGGTTTCTTAGATGTCAGTTCATTTTCAAGATTTTTAAATATATAACAGAGTTTAGCTCCCCCATTCCTGCAAGATGAGAAACATGTGCATATAGTCGAGTATATCCTACACACATATGACATCGTAATCTCGTATGACATGTTAATACTTAACGATTACTTACAGAAACATGGAGTCCATATCCACACTTTCTCCCTTCATCACCTTGCAGTATGATTGAGAAAACGTACTTATCATATGATGTAAGGAACCTTTTTCATCCACTATTTCATCTCCACACTTATTCAGCACCGACATGCACTCTTCCAGCCGTTGAACAAACGATGCCTGTAAAATAATAAAAACACTAGAAAAATATTTCACCATTTTCATTGTGTTCCCAGTGCGAAAAAATAATTAATTCGACATCAACATCGAAACGACGTCGGAACGATGTCGAAATGGTTGAATCGACGCCGAAACGACGTAGTTTCGCTATGAATTTCGCACTGGGTTATCATGCTAACATACCAACCTTCATTTCCGGAAGGCACGTTTTAATGTGCCTAATCAGTAAGTTCTGTAACATTTTGGCCAGGTATGCACTGCCATTTTTATGAGCTAGTTCTGGGTACCTGCTCCTCAGGAAATCCTCTTCATCCTTTAAAGCATCTTCAATACTCTGAAATTTAAAAAAGAAAGTAACTCGACAGCACGGAGTATCATCAACATGCAGTGATGCAGTTGCAGTTGCTGCGCATTTGTTGTGCAGTTGCAAGAGGTGGGGAGGGGGGGGGGCTCTGTCCATAAATTCAAGTGTGTGACATTCGAACATTTAAAAGTGCGTGCCAAAATGTCACACATAATAAGTGTGCGTGCCAGTCCTGTCAACAAAAGAGTGTGTGACAACCATGTCACACTATCTTCTGTGTCACACAAGTAAACACTCTTTACTTTCAGTTTTTTGTGAGTGCCATAGCTGCTACACAATTCTATGCATGACTAAATGGTCACACACTTTTAGTGTGTTACATGTTAACACGCACTTTTCAGTGTTTGCATGTCACATTCTTATATTTGTAGAGTACCCCCCACCTAAGACACTACTTCATACTGAAGAATAAACATTTTGCAAACATTGTTTCTCATCCAACGCACCTTCTTGTCCTTTATGTCCTTTTGGGACCTATTAACCACACCAATAATTCCGAGTTTTACAGCAATACACATTCCAGTCAAAATTTCTGTTGCATCCGTTCCTGCAAAAAAAAAAAACAAGGAAAGCCGAGTGATTCGATTCAACTGAGGAATCGTGCTCCAGAACATGATTCATTTGTTTTTACAAACCTTTATCCATTAAATCAAGCTTTGTCACAACGGCTAAGGTGCGTTCGCCTTCTGGGTCCACCTTTCTTGCCATTTTAATGCACTCATTAGTTGCCATGTCTGTGTTGGCAGTGATCACAGCTAAAATGATACTCATTGGATTATTAATGTAAGCATTTATAAGGTTGACGATCTGTTCCTCAATATCCTCAGGCTGGTCGCCTACAGCCACCTGGAAGAGTCAAATCGGCAATAATAACGCGAACGACAGAGAGAGATAAATATAAAGTTTAGAATGTCCTGGCGATCAATTAATTGCGAACATACCTTAGTGATGCCTGGCAAGTCCACAAGTGTCAGTGTGAGGACATGCGGGGAGAATATTTTGAGCACTATAGGTTTCGACGAGATGTTTTTATTTTCACCTGCCAGCTCTGCGGTCCTTCTCTCAATTTCACTTTCGATCTCCTCAATTTCGTATATTTTGGATTCTTCCTCATCGTCGTCAAATTCACCCCATTCCTCATAGGAAGAGCCTGCACAATAATAATAAATAAAATTGAAAGCTTCATCGAGGAGTTCTCAATGAGACCCGAAAGGTGCATTCATGTGTGCACAATTGGGATGCAATCTTGGCAGTCTAACCAACGAAATGAGAATTTAAGGTTATGTTATGTTATCCGGTGGAATCATGCAATCTGTGTCAATTTGGTTGAGTTGTGACCCCTTCGGTTATCACGGACAAACCCTGCGCGTCGACTCACCTCTTTCTTCGCGTAACTCGTCTCCCACGGGGCAGTTGACGAGGCGTAGGATGAGAGGGCACCGGGTGACGATGCCGCTTCCACGAGGCAGGAAGGAGCGGCGGACGATCGACTCCAACACGGAGCTCTTTCCGGTGCTCTGGAGACCAGAACGGAGGTAAGATAAGGAACGGGGGCAGTCTACAACAGCTTCGAGAATCCTTATCACTGTGCTGCACGTACCTGGCTGCCCACCACGACGATCTGTGGAAGGTCCACCGGCTTCTGACTCAATGTCTTGAACTGGTCTTGAATGTTGTTTATAGAGAATATTAGGTCGTCCATGTCGAACACCTAGAACAAATTCATTGTTTTATTTAATTATAGTGGCAAAGAGAGTGTAATAGAATAGGCGCTCGGTCGGGGCTTTGTGCACGGTAAAAAGAACATCTTGGAATTCAAGTAGATTCCTTGAAAACTGTCTTGAAAACCAAGTAGATCGCTTGAAATCCAAGATGTCATTTTTACCGTGTGGCCTACAGTCCGGGAGACTGTCCCTTTATCAACGATATGGGCTAATTAGCAGAGGATACTTTTAAAACCTTTTGACTAGGCGTAACTTTAAAGTGTCAGCTAGCTTTCTTTTACTCTCGAAACGGCCAGAGAATCAAGGGGAGACCAGAAAACAATTTCTTTGGCGCTGGCGGAACATTGTCCGAGTGCCTGAGTGAGTGTCGCTTTAGGCCTTTACCCTGCCTAACAATACTAGGCTCCCCGTCCCCCTGTCCCTGCACAACAATACTATCCGATACTAGTGGGAGGTTGTACATATACGACATATTTTGTAAATGGTAAATTTTACGAAATATACAAAAGAAGTCTTTAAAGTTGAACAATCAAGCAAAATAAACTTTTACTCAAACGAGAGGGTGCCTTAAGTGCCTTTCTTCCCCACTCCAGTCCGCCCCCCTCCTCCTTCCCCTTTTTCAGGCCCCCCTCCTCTCTCCCCTCCCCTCCGGTCCCGACTCGACTCTCGACCGCCTGGGCGTTCGCCGGTTATTCCCAGGCGCGGTATAAGGAGGGGGCGACAGGGGGGGCGGTGCACTGTGGGTTGCCTACATACAGGGGTTTTGTAGCACACATTGCCTACCTTTTAGGCGGCTCACTAGAGACGATGGGGGGGGCGATCGCCCCC